GCTTCTACCCCACGTTTCAGAGCGCCGCAGACAGATTGAGGGAAATATCCTGATTCCTACCCTTTCTTGGATCTGCCAGTGTTCTGCAGTCTCAAAGCACAGTAGAAAGTGGTATTTAACAAAATATAACTTTCTTCTCCTTTAAAATTTAGCTTTCTAATTCAGAGTCGTCTTGGTCAGGAGTTTATTTAAAAGACTAAGAATGTTGAAGCTAACAAAAACTTTCTTGGGTGAATATCAGTTTGTAGAGCAGGAAAGTTTAAGGGATTTTTCATCTCCTTAAATAAGGCTCTCACTAATGCTAACTCCAGGATGGCTCCAGGTTGCATATGCAACTCTGTGCAATATCATCCTTGTACAGCAGTTCAAATATAGAAGCAATAGAGTCATACACTCTCCTGTGTTTCATTCAGGTCCTCAGCTGAGGGTGGGGGGGATATGAAAGTGCTTATAATGCTTTAGGGCTTGAACTAGTTGCATGTGGAGCCAGCTGGGTGTACCTATGGAATGCAGCTCATGTATGCAGCTGAAGAATACTCCAGTCAGAGTGAAACAGGCTTCGCTGCATGAAGCAGTGAGTATATCTAGATCTATCTATATATCAACATACATATGCACATATATATGTATCTCAAATCCAATTAGTTCCCCACTCCTAACTTTTTCTTACTTGAGCTGTGAAACAAAATATCACTGCTTCACATCTACTGAAGCAGAACTTTTTGTTTCAAATTCAGTGACGAATGTGTCATTGAGTGAAATTGATTTGGCTTGAACTAGTTAGCCTGTTTTCAAGAGAAATCTTCAGTTTTATCAGCTGTCAGTTTTCAACCTTCAATGCTCAGAGATAAAGCCTCCAAAGCCAAAAACCAGAGATTCAATAGGTTAAAGAGATTTGTTCTTCAGTAGCATTAAGAGACTGACAAGACAAAAGGGAGTAAATGTCACGTTTTTAATGCTGATTTGAACAGTCTCCCGTAAAGTCAAAGCACCAAATGTTGGGTCTCTTTCAGCGAGGCCTAATGGCACTGAATTAGGAACTTGTTTGAACACACCTTGTTTTCAATATTCATCGCTGAAGGGATATTCTGGATGGTCACGCCACCTGTGGATAGATCAGATTGAACAAGTGAGCTTCTTGGGTGAAGCAGGATCTTGTGTCACTGATGTAATTGTCCTGTGCCTAGAAATATTTTCCTTGCAATACATAGGTGGCCTTCATGGAAGGCTCTTCTGCCTATGCAGAAGCTGTCTGCTCTGAATAATCTTCCATACCGAGTTGGAAGCAAACCTGTGCATTTAAGGAGAAGACAGTGAAAGACCATTTTTCAGGCCTGCAGACTGCCTACCTTAAGGACAGATGGGAAAAATGAACAAGAGTTTGGTTGTCAGCTATTCTCGCTATTTAACTGAGTGGATTTAACTTGGGTCAGTAGAAGTGTTTTAGGGAAGGCAGATGGCTTCACTATGTGTGCAAGACCCTCAGAAATGAAGGCTATATTTGAAGGAGAGGTGGAGACTCCAGACTGTACTACTTTGGCTTATGCACTTAGAGCTGGCATGAACAGGTCTGGGTCTGGTATGGTGCTTTCTCCAAATAGCTGCCCCACCTAGACTAGTTCTGGCTGTCCTCTAGCTCAGCCTAGCTGTAGATGCTCTACCAGGTTAATAGCACCAGTGGCAGAGAATTTACAAAGAAGCTTTGGGATTATCCAGTTCAGGGGAGAAAGGCTACCAACGGTAGAAATGCTTCAAGGTTCATTTTAAAAACTGTGTGCTGAGGGAAGATGCATGATCCAGGATCACTATAAAAGGTGAGAATAAAATTCCCAGGGTCAACTGCAGGTGAAAAAATAACACCATGTTTGCCCATTACTGGTAGACTTGAGAAAGAGGACATTGGTTTTTGTTGTGGGTTTTCTTGTTTGTTTGTTTGAGAAGATGATGCTAAACCACAAACCCTGGCTTGACAAACATTTTGCATTGTCAAAATCAAAAATTTCTGAAGAGCATTCTCAGGTGCACCATGGCAGCTGGCTGCCTTGCCTTAAAGCAGAGCACAACAAATACTGGCATTTATCCCAGCTGTGAATCGTTCCAGTTTGGGAAGGATACATTTCACAATATTGAAGTTAACTAACTGGAAGGCATCAAACATTTTGAATTGGTTGTGTCAAAACATTTCATTCCAATATTCAGCCAAGCTGAAGTGTTTACACATTAACAGATTGAGTTGGTTCAAAAAAACAAGCCACAGTGTTTTGGCTTGTTTGGTTTCAGTATAATTTGACAATGTCTGAGTTGCCAGTGTCATAATCTCTACTTTCCATCTATGGAGCATGCGTGCTAACCAGATCTCACATGTTCAAAGGTCTGAGTCGTTTGAGTGAAAATGATTCACTCGGAGGAGTCAATGCAGCTTTGAGTAACTGGCAAGGAAGAATGTCCGTAGTAGAGACTGGGAGCACAACCTAAATCAAGCAGAGAATTAATGTAAAACTTGCCCAGCACAATACTTGTAGACTTCTCCAAGGGGAGAAGAAACCATTTCAGACTGAGATTTCCCGAAGTACTCATATTCTTACAAAAAGTCCATTTTCTGCTCAGAGGTTTAACTTGCTGACTCGTTCCACTGCCTGCAATATCCTGTTCATATGGGCTCACTCACACCAGCAGAACGACAGACTTACACACAGTACCCATGGCGGCTGATAACTGGAAGAGCCAGAGGACAGCTGGATTTTTCCATTCCT